TGTCAGATGGCACATTCATATATTAAAACGTGATCATTTTTATCTCAGTCTATGATTTCAACTTATTAATTTTTACGTTAGATGAAAGAAATGAAAAATGAAAAGTCTGCAGTTATATATTTTTATTTTTTTTTTTTCTTTTGTAAAAATAAAAATTCTTACATTAGTTTTCAAGCGGCGAAACTTCAATATTTTATGTGTGGAATGGTCTGCATTTTTCTCTCTCTTTCTCTCTCCTTTTCAACAATGTTTTAAAGTATATTTGAATGATTTATACAATAAAAAATTCTCTAATACGGAAATACCGAGGTCGTGATAATTTTCGGATTAAAAATTAGTTAATGTTATTGAATCGAATTAAACAAATCGTACACGTGTACTAACATGTATTATTGATTTAAATAGCTTAGAAGATATTGATTTTACCACTCAGTTAATTTTTGTTTAGTTTCTTATGTGCAAGTATGCTGTTGTGGTCAACTAATATTATTAAATTGATCACTAATAGTAAATTTTAATTATTACAATACAAATATACAAATTATTTAATTTTTTAGGTAGAATTTTGAATAAAATTTTTAAATTATCATTTTATTTACAAAGAATTATAAAATATATTAAATATAAAATTGTGAAGAATAAAATATATTTTTGTTTATTTAAATTATTCTTTATTTGGTATGATAGGAAAACGAAAATTAAATTATTGTTATCTTACTGCAAATTTTATACGTCCTGAGAGGAATGAAATTGTGTGATTTTAATAAATTAAGAAAGAGAGTCGTTATATTTCTTGCGGCAATCCAATTTAATTTTCTTGATTTACTTGTTAAAATCACACAATTTTATTTCTCTTGGGACATAAATTTTTTAAAAAGATAATAAAAACACATGTATAGTATATTTAAATATACAAACACTTTTCTTATTGAAAACAGTGGTAAATTTTATTATTTAAATAAACATTTAGTTTAATTATTTTTTTCCAAAATATCAAATTTTTATTATAAATATAAGTATATTTATAATAAAATTTTATTATAAATATATCTAGTATAGAGCAAAATATCAAATTTTTATTATAAAAAGATGAATTAAATAATAATATTATACATAACGCTTTATAAATATTATTAATATCACACTACTAATACATGTGTCTTTCTCAAATCGAATTTAATCTCTCTCCGGCGACGTGCTGATTTTAAATAAAAGCGCGACATTCACGATGATGGCTCATTCATCAAAATTAGCGCAAAGAGCGGAATAATTTGATGTACGTTTATTTTATAACGTTAAATATTTTGTGGCGGCTAGTACGCGGCGCTTGGTGTTTTTTTTTTTGTTGTGTTTACATAATGCCGGTGTGTACATGCAAGGTCGCTGTGCTACCATTCGTTCACCGTGACTCGACGAGCGAGCAGCGGCGCGCGAGCCTCTTCGCGTGTCGTCGTGTGTTAATTTTCTCCCTCAAAGCGCATTATTTCTACAAGCGATCGGCGATTAGCGGCGAGTTAATTAATTCCCGCGATTGATTCGGAAAGCGAGACGGGAGACTCTCAGGTGTCGAATCGAGTATCGCGCGTATTCATTCAAAAGAGAGAGAGAGAGAGAGAGAAAATACCGCGTACTTGAGCGTGTATCGCGACATATTTCTGATCGTCGATTTAAGTAACATTCGCAAGAGCGACAGTGCTGAAGCAACAACACGCGAGAGATATCGCTGGCTGAAAAAAAAAAAAAACGTAAGGAACGGAACATTCGATCTACGTGTTTATTCTGTAGTACACTAAAAATTTATCGCGGAGCTCGTTCCTCCCCTCCGGCGCGTGTACCGTTGAATAGATGTAAACATTTGCGCGATGAGTATGGCCGCTCGGAAAAACGTTCGTGCACGCGACACGTACACGTGGAAATGTCACACTGTGATCCCGTGATTATTAAAATCAGGAGAGATATCGCGACCGCGAGTTTAATTAACTCTACGTTTAATGACTCGTATCGAGGCGACGGCGATTCATCGGAACAAATGTTTCGTGCTGTTTCCTCCAGCGCAACGTCGTAAAATCGCGCGAATATCATTGCGTTTTCATACACCACTCGTATATACGCGTGCGGTCGTAATTAATTGTGTCTTCGCGAGCGAGTGTTACACGTGAGAACGACGAAGTAAGCTGAGAGACATGGGAGAGGCGTCGGGTAATAATGAAGTAATCGTGAGGTGAGTAACTTTTTTTATTATTATAGCCTCTTATACATTTCCTCCTTCTGGAATCAATGATTTTTCTAATTATCCTCCTGTATGCGTAATAGTTATTTTTGAAATATTAATTAATTTTGGACAATGTTCTAATATGAATATATATTACGCAATATACATTTGTATTTCACAGTCAAAACAGCTTTGACATGGTTTAAAATTTTGTTATTACACGCACTATACTTGTACAATATATAAATATATTTATGTTTAAATTAAAATACATAAAAATTTTAAATATAACAAATTTCATAAATTTATTATTATAACACGATTAAATTAAAAAGGATTCGAATTAATATTTAATTCTGGGAAAAATATATTTTAATATCTTATAATGTACAGTTTTTGGGAATTCTAATAATTAATTAATTGCGTGCGGATGTTGTAATTTATAGAGTAAATTTGCACATACACCTAAACGTAACAATATAAAGTATTATATGAAATATTTTATATATAATAACTTGTAAAGATATTATATAAAATATCTTATAAATAATAAATGTTAAAAAATAATAAACAATAATATATAATATATAATAGATTGTCGTATTAAAGAAATAATTTTAATAATTTCTTTTAAATATAACAGATAGGTATTATTTTTTTGCATTTTATTTAAGTACTATATACATGCGCAAATTTCCAGGAAATGCAATTAAAAACGTTATGAAAATATAATGTATCAATATTATTTATGCAATTTTTATTAAAAAATGTTATAAATGATTAAAACTTTGAGTTTATTGTTCAGATTATGGTAAATGAATAAAAAGAAAAAAGAGCAGAATAAAATTACCATGAGAGAAGCAAAATAATAATATTTTTAGACTATAATAAAGTTGTTATTTAAGATTCTCTTGATGGTGTTTTTATCTCTTGAAGAAAATGAAAGATATATGTATTTATATGGAATAAAAATAAATTGTTGTTTCTGATGGCAGGGAAATATTTAGATGCATTATTTTATTTTTATTTTTTTTTCTTCTATTTCTTTCCCAAATATTTTAGAAGTTGAAGTTGAAGTTTGTATTTGGTCATCTCATAACTTTCCAGGATTAGATATTGTATAAATATTTATCTCATATACATGAATATTTTTTTTTAATATGTGTCTATCACAAATATAGGTATATATAAAAATATAGAAAATATTTAATATTTTAATAAGAGCTATGCTTTAAAGAGCCAGACTGAAATAATTATTAATTACATTATTTACTTTTGTATTCAATTTTATTCTAATCTTTCTCCACTCCATTTATGTAAATATAATAATTTAATTTCATATTAGTTGAAGTAAAAAGCGATTTCTTTCAAAATAGGTTGTTTCTAAATTAAACAGCTAGAAATTCAGACAGAAAAAAAAAAATAAATTATAAACATGGATTTATTTGATACATCGGTCAATGTATAATTCTATAACTTTTTTCTTTAACTTTGATATTTTCATATTATTTTCCAGTGATCTAATTTAAGAATATGCTACTATAATATTATTAGTATTATTAGCGATACTTTTAGGACATTTTATAAACTTTTTATCATAATCTACTTGCTTTTGAAAAAATGACTATTATCATGTTATGCGCATTGTTTTATTTTATCGATTATATATTTTTAAAGGAAAAATGCAAAATATTATACATGCCTTTTTAAATAATTTGTTTAATACATTATGTAAATCTTGTAACTTGGGGTATACATATACATCGAAATATTTCGTGAAAATACTATTTCGGGAGATTTTTAACTTTGTTCTCTTTAGTCAGTCGGGGAAAGCGCAACGGATAGAAATTCTTTCATAACGAAAACGATAATCGACGCTTCGGTTGCCCCCTTCCGACAGATCTCAATTAGAAAGCCGCCGCTCGACGTCGATCGAGTGCTTCGGATTTTTCTTTCTGACCTACTATCGTGCTTTTATCCAACATTACTCTCTCCTTTCTTTCTCTTCTCTCCTATCGTCCATCGATTTCTGTCTAAGAACGAAAAACGAATAAGCTCACCGTTGACGTTTCGACATAAATTCCGTTCGGCTGCATGATGAAAATTAAAGTGCAATAGGCAGAGAAAGAGGGAGAGAGAGAGAGGGAAGAAAGAGATGTCTACAACATAGCTAAGGTAAAAACGT